GCACGTACGTTACGCGCACGCACCACGCGAGCTAGTCGACATATGCGTGACTGGGGTGGCAAGGTTCTGGAATAATTCACTTAAGTGACGACACTGCAAACTTTCTGCTCGTGTTTGCCTTATTTCAGCACAAGATTCCTGCCCAACTATTTCAAGTCTTCGTGAATGAGCTTGACCTCAACCAACAAGGCTTGCATAGAAAGAGGTTTCAAATTTTATTCTGCCGGAGCAGGCCAGAGCACACGCCCTGTAGCCTAGCCAATTTGAGAGGCGGGACCGTTGTTTGGCACTCAGCCCCTAGGTGTTTGCCTAAGCGCTCACAAGTGTGTGTGCGTGTGCTCGCGTACGTCTGCGCCCGTGTGTGTGTGTGTGTGTGTGTGTGTGTGTGCGTGCGTGCGCTGAGTAGTCACGAGTTTGTTTTGGTGGGAAGCGGATTTTAGTCAAGCGGATTCGTACGCTCGTTGAGTCTTCCTGCGTTTTCTTTGCCTCGCCGCGATTCTCGACGTCCCCCCCCCCTCTTTCCCCTACCTCCATTGTGTCTGTGCCATGGCCACGGTGGTCTACTTCATGTCTGTCCTCTTTTCTCATTGCCCTCCCCGCCTCTTCCCTCTATCCCTCTCTCACTCGCTATTCCTCTCATTTTTCACTATGAAAAATACCCTAGTAAATTTACAACGTTTGTTTTCTTTTTAGTATAAACAAATTTTCGTTAGTATATTCGCGCTTGTTGCAAGTCCTCATGAAGTGCTTCTATTTTAACGATTTCGAACTGTAATTTTACGGCACACTTAATGGAAAATTTTCTCGTAAACCTTCGACAATTTTGTCAAAGTATTTCACCTCCCCATCTCATCTCTCCAGCTCGTGCAAGATTCCTGCTCCTCCCACTCGCATCCCCACCGCCTCCTCCAGATAATGCTAACGCCAGGAGTCCAATCGCTGCCACGCCGCGCCACTCAGCACCTCGGCCACTTGATGACCGGGGGCTCCGAGCGAAACTACCCCCAGCGGGCAACGTCTCGTGGCGTGGCAGCGCGTGGCTGGGACGTGACTCTGACTCGCACGGCCCCTGGACAGGCTGGAGGAATGTCTACTGTTGGCATCTGCTTTAGAGATGGACATGGAGGACTTTTAGTCAAAGTAGTTGTGCGATACAAAGCTATGGCAAAGTTTTACACTTTCAGTCATTTTCCCCGTCCAAACTCAAATACGCATATATTCTGTAAATTGAGTAAAGCAAAATTAGATTTGTTTTGTTTATAAAAATACAGACTGAATAGTTTTTAGTGTAAATAGTACAAATATTATTTTAATGCACAATTTTACTCTGCATTCGAATGGCATTTCCTTCTAGTCTCTCGTGTTTTACTTCAGTGTTAGTGTCAGGAGCACGTGTAGCATCCTCGAGACTCGGGAGGGCGGAGCGGTGTCAGGAAGAGTACATGGGATGATCAGCATTAGTAGGAAGAACGGTTGCAGCACTAGATGGAGCGTTACATCAGCCTCTGCATGCTGCTTCTTGTTAATGGAAAAATCTAGTGGTGGATGATTTAATATCTCGATGCTCCTGCTCGAGCTACACGAGATACTACTCGGGGTGCCAAGAGGGAGGGTCCTTGGTGCGTTGCCAGGTGGTGTCAGCATGTAATTATTAGGTCCCGTCGCTCTCAGCGCCAGCGCCAAACGCTCCAAGACGGCACCGCCATCAGCCGACGAGCAGATCACGACCGACACTGCGGGCCCCGACCCGCTGTCCGTTTAAGGCTTTTAACTATGCACTACCATTGTATAGCTTTAATCGGTCGTACTGCCTTTCTCTCTCTCGCTCGCTACTGTCTCTCACTCTCGAACGTTGCTTCCGTGCGCTACCCCACAATTTACAATGCGATTGGCGCCGTTGTCGACAACGGGACCCGGAGGAACGCAATCCAATGACTCGGTTGATTCTCCATTATAACGGCCACCTTCCTATCACTGCGAAAAATATATTACGAGATGTTAATAGCTCAATTCAAGTCTGTTAAAGGAACGAAAAAAAAAACACGTTTCGTTTTTGCCATTATTTTCCACACAATAACCATAATTCTCGGGTTGTTTTTGACCTCTGTTTGCTCCTTTGTTGTTTTTCTCACAATGCTGATAGCCACGCAGGTGCGCCACACCAGGCCCGCCACACCAGGCCCCATGGTGCTGACGTGCTTGAGGCCGACCGTTTTGTTTTCCTTCACAGAAAGGTCGATGAAAGGCTGCATTATTCTTTGCGATGAACAGAAATCTAATTTCCACCGCCAGCAGCAGGAGTAGCCAGTGTTACAGAGATAGAACGAGGTCGTAGGGGAAGGAAGCGGGAGAAGAAGGATGAGAAGCAAAGTGGAGCTAAAGCCGAGTCGCCACCCACAGAATATCAGAATGATTTTCGTTTGACGAAATATGCGCGTTGTTCGCGCACCCAGCATCGACCCTCCTCGATCAGACCCCCGCGGCGCTCGCCCCCAGTGGAATTAATTCATGGATCCGGGGTCCAGTCGGGAGTCGGGTCCCGGGCGGCTGCTGCCGAGGCTGCTGCATGCTGTATGCTATCCCCATTCCATTCAATTGTAGCCCCTGCTGCCCACCGAGCGGGGCGTAGTTGCCTGCAGCGCGACGGGCGACGCTCACACAGAAAACAGAAAATGCGAATAGTCGATATTTTAGTGCCTCGTTTGTTTACTTGATTTTTTCGAGTGCATTGTGTTTGTTTCGAGAAGAAGCGCAACGCACTCAGGAAAATCAAAGCACAAACACGAAAAGTGTAATAACATCGAGACGCATCAAGAACCCCCATTTGTTTCGGGTGCAGTGGCCTGCTGGCCCCAATATGCTCTTTTCCCGGCTGCAGCTCCCCTCCCCCTTTTCTTCCCACGCTTGTCAGTCTCTCTCCTGCCCGTCCCTCCCTTTCCTCCCACTTCCTGTTTTGCCCTCCGCCGTCCGGTGCGGCTGGTGCCTTTCCGACCGCCGCCACCCAGAGCACTGCAGTGAAGTGGTGGTCGTGGAAGTTTGCGTCCGCCGGGCTCCGAGGAGGGGAGGCTGCGAGGGTCCTCCGCCCAATGATGAAGACATCCGCTTGCTCATATGGTGTAGGATCAGGGGGGTCATCACGACGTGGAGAGGCCGTGGCGAGGCGTAGCGCCTCCGGCGCACGCAGGCGCCCGAGATATTATTTATTTTGCCGAGGAGGCGCCACCGCACCGCTAGCCTGCTGGCTGGCTGGTGGAAACCGAGCCGCGGCTTCAATAAAACATGAAAGTGGCAGGAAATGAAAAGGCCGCCGCGCCGATGGGATTGGTAGGCAAGCGCGCGGCTGCGGGTCATCTCCTCACGGAATATTAAGCGGCTGTCCCTTCCTCCGCCAGAAGGTGCGGCGGGGCCGCGGCGAGCGGGAGAAAAATGATAAGCCCTTCCATTTTTCTCTTTTCACTGAAAGATTTTTTTCGTGAGCTAAGAATAAGTGAGTGAGTCGGGCGCCGCGTGAAAATGCGTCTCAGCTCGGGAGATTTGGGAGAGGTGGCTGTGCGGCAGCTCGAGCAGATTGGAAGTTATCTCGGTAGGATAGCAGGCGACGCATGCGAAACAATTCCTCGGGCCAGGCTGCGCGCAGGGTCTGGTGGGGACGGAAAGGTGAAGGGATTGAGGGTAGGGGAGTGTAATGAAATGAGCTCTGAAAGGGAAAAGGGGCGGGGTACGGCGGACCAGCGGGGGCGCCGAGAACTCGATTTGGCCGTCCGGCCTGGTGCGGACCTGGGCGGGCTCGGGAGTCCCTCGCAGCTTTCTGCTGCTTTCTGCTGCTTTCTGCTGCTTTCTGCTGCTTTCACTACTCTCCCGGTTCTGATGCCCGTCCCTTTGCAGCGCAAGGGCTATCAGCCTCGCGCAATCGCATTTCCGCAAATTAAAAGCGGCCCAGGCCCAGGAGGCTAGAGACTCGGCGCGCGCGCACGACCACGGTTGGCGGCACAGCCCGCTCGTTTTAAAACTTTTCGCAATAGCAAGAGCGGTTTCCCCGCGGCGCACTCTTTAGGAAGTCGACGGGAGTAACCTAAAGCCGCCCCAAAGCGGTCGGGAGGGGATCATCGCCCCCGCGTACACAATAGCGGTCAAAGAGAATAAAAAGGTCCCGTGGACAAGCAGCGCGCTGTGCGGCGGTGCAGTGTTGAGCTGCTGCGTGCCCGGGGCTGCTTGCTGTGCTGCCACGACGCGCCCTGCTGATCTGTTTACCGAACGCTCGGCGGAGCCAGGCCTGATGAGGCTGGGACCGGCCGTTACTGGAGGCGCCGGAGGCCTTATTTGGAGTAACGGATCAGCCTGTGGTGCGCTTATTGCGCACAGCCACACCACCATACCATACCACCCCACCACGCCCCGCCACCCGCCACACCCTGGACTCCTATTTTATGCTGCATTTTTTTCTCCGACGCCCAGCTGATATTATCCCCATTTCCCTTTCTCCTTTCCACCCCACATCCTGTCGCATAGCGCCGCAGGGTCGGGGGGCGGCGGGTCGGGATCGGCAGCGGCGTGGCGTGGCAGCGGGCTCGGGTGGGGGGCCCTGGGCCCTGGGGGCGCTGTGCCGCCGCGCGCCGGCGGCTCGCTGGGACAATATTGCAATGTCTGTTTCTTCCCACCATCTCTCTCGCGCTCGCTCTCTCTCTTTCTCTCTCGTGTCTTCCCTACATTTCCGTTCTATACATTATGAGGGCAAAACGACCATAGTGCCTGAGGAAATGAGCACGGGACTTTCTATCCCCTTACGCCCTCTCTCACTCGACCTGAATGTACACGTGCGTGGAAACAACATATTATCACTCCCCTTCCTGCTTTTATTTACTGCAAACTTTTACGTGCGTGCCCGGCTGTAATTATTTCCACGGTGTGTCGGTGTGTTAGTAAAGCAGCTCGAGTCTCCTGAGTGGTGGTCGTGTCAGTCGCGCTGTGTCGCGCTGACCACCCCGTCTCTTCTTTGCAGCGAGCCATGGGCCGGCCGCGGGTCTCGTAGTTAGCCGGGGCCTCTGCGGGCCTCGCGGGGGCCTCGCCCCCTCCTGTCAGCCATGGCTGGGGCCGGCGGGGGCCGAGGCCGTGGGGAGCCGAGCCGGCGCGCGGGCCGCGGCGAGGCGCCAGGCCGACGGGCGGCGAGCCGGCGGGAGGACAAGGACGACACGTAGCGGCCAGGGCCGAGGCCAGGGCCGGTCATCATGTGGCTCAGCAGGGTGGCCAGGTCCGCGACCCCCAAGGCCAGCCCCGTGCAGTTCTACCGCGGCGGGGACGGCTCGGGCCGCGGCCGGTCGGCGGGCAGCAGCGGCGACTACCTGGCCGACACGGAGCTGGACGAGCAGCCCAGCCCCAGCACGCCCGCCGCCGGCCCGGACACCAGGGCCTCCTCGCCGAGCATCCGGTCCGTGCCTGACGCGCTGAGCGACACGCTGCTCCTGGACACGCCGCCGCCCACGGTCCGGGTCAACTTCCCGGACGAGTCGCCCACCAGGTCGACGGACGGCGCCGGCGGCGGCATCGCGGGCTCCAAGCGGGCGTCGCGCGCGCACCTCGCCGCGTACAGCGGGCGCCGACGCTCCACCCGCTCCATGAGCGCCTGGAGCGACGTCTCCTGGAGGCTGGACGACAGGTGAGTCATGAGGGCCGACGGCATTAAATATAGATAGGGCGGTGCCGCTTCGGTTAAAGGAAACGAATGGGGCAGCCCAACGGGGGCGCACTTCGCCACCTTCTTGCTGCAGCTCCACCCGTCTCGTTTTGCGGACCTCCGACGACGCCCCCCCCCCC